ACGTCGTACGTACGTACGTCGTCGACGTACGTACGTACGTACGTACGTACGTACGTACGTACGTACGTACTACGTACTACTCGTACGTACGTACTACTACTACACTACACACACACACACACACACACACACACACACACACACACACACACACACACACACACACACACACACACACACACACACACACACACACACACACACACTGTACTCACACTCTCCTCCTTGACCTTCTCCATGGTGCAGGCGGGCAGCTGCCCTTGCAGAGGTGGGGGGGAAACCCCATTCTGGTCAATGGCCACGAACAGCTTCCCGTTGACGTTTAAAGTTGGATAAAATACCTGAAAACCCACACATAAAGAGAAATATTAACATGTCTTTTGCCTTTTATGAACACCACAATGATTTGGAATCAGGGCCCAAAATTAGGAGCCACTGTTAAATAAAAAAATATATATATATCAAGGCAATTCACCGCGTTTTTTGTGCAGTGTGCCTGGTAAATAAACTAAAACACTTAATACAAATAAAATAACGTTGTGGACCATGCTTTTGTGTCCCTATTTAATAATCGAATAAATAATACAGAAAAACAGAACAAAGTTTAGTTGATGACCAATTTTTTATTTTGTATATTCTTACCTGGGAGTTCCTGCTGGCGTTGCTGTAGGTGCTCGGCCTGCGTTTGGGCCAGGGGTGGGGCAGGATGCCACTGAAGGTGCCACCGCTGTAGGTGCGCCCCCCCACGCCCTCCGTCACGTCCCCCGGCACGCTGTACTCATCGTCAGCCATCTCCCCTTCCGAGCCCCGACTCCGCAGGCGGAAGTTGAAGATGGAGGACACCTGACTGCTCCTCCGCGTCCTGGAGGAGAAGGAGCGGCCCAGGAGGGGGTGGAGGGGCTGCAGGACAATACAGTATATTTAAATCTATTAACTAATACTGTCACTTTTTGGTATAATTACATTGTTTTATAATGAAACTATTGTTTGAATATCTTTTTTCTATATTTATTATTTTATATTAACACAGATTTCTCAGCACTTACCTTCCCCCCCTCCATCAAGTCCACCTGCAGCAGCTTCTCCTCTGATAGGTTCGCCTCCACGTCGCCCACGCCCACCAGCGCCTGGCTCCGCCTCCTCTCCTCCGATCCGTCCAATGGGAGGACGAATGGGGACAGATCCGGTGACATCATCGAGTCCGAGTCCAGAAGCTTCTGCGCAGCACCCTAAGGAAAGAAATTGCCATGTGTCTTTCAAAGTAATACGAAATAAAAGTAGCTAAAAGAGGAATTTACAACTAAACTATTCTATTACAAATGTAAATCCCTGTCAGCAGCCTTGATGGAGGTGTAATCACCTGCTGCTCCTTCTTCAGCCTCTCCATGGCAACCTGAAACTCGCGCTCCTTCTGGCAGGCCTCAGCGATGGTGGCCTGGTTCTGCTCTTCGTACGCCATCGCCACTACGGCCAGGATCAGGTTCACCAGGTAGAAGGAGCCCAGGAAGATCACCACCACAAAGAACACCATGTAGGTCTTACCTGCAGAACGCAGCGTCTGCACAAACACAAAGAAACCGGACAAAAATGCAGGAGTGAAATTCCTATCTCACAGTTACTTTAGTCACTACAAACTAGAGGGAACAAACTGAATCCTGTTAGTGTCCAGCTGTAACAATCCAGATGAGAAGAGCTGATAAGGTTTTGGAGTTTAACTTTCTAATGTTAAGGTGAGTGTATAAAGGTATCAAGGTGTATAGGTGTGAAGGTGTGTAGATGTGTTTTTTGTCCCCTCTTGCTAAGACATGTGTATATTCTCCATTCCTGTTCATGTGTCTCTGGATTTCCTTGCTCTCACTGAGACCTGGATTACTCCATCCAACACATCCACCCCAGCAGCTCTCTCCACAGCATATTCCTTCACCCACACACCCAGACCCACTGGCAGAGGAGGTGGCACTGGTCTCCAGCTCTCTCCCAAATGGAGCTTTTCCCTAAAAACTACCAAACTTCACTCCTTCCTCCTTTGATGCCGTTACTGTAACCCATCCTATACAATTAACCATTGTTGTTCTCTACCGTCCACCAGGCGCCTTGGGGGACTTCTTGGAGGAATTAGATCATCTCCTCTCACACATCCCTGAAACTGGCCCTCCCACTGTACTTCTCGGAGACTTCAACTTCCAGACGGAGAAGATATCTGAATTAATATTTATTTTAACCGCCTTTGCTTTCTCACTGTCCATTTCCTTGATCTCACCATGCTGTGAATGGTGCTGGCCCTTCCTACATCCAGGACATGGTTCAAACCATACACCCCAGCATCGGCCAAGCGGCTCGCTGCACCCGCACTGCGAGGGGGACCCAAGTTCCCATCAGCAAAAACACATGGGTTTGCTATCCTGGCTCCAAAATGGTGGAATGAGCTCCCCATTGACATCAGGACAGCAGAAAGCTTACACATCTTCTGGAGACTGAAAACTCATCTCTTTCGACTCCACTTCGAGCGATAAAATGGAAAAATAATATACTAACTAAGCACTTATATGCTAACAAAGGACTGGCTTATCTAAAGCCAGTTGAGTAGCACTTAAAATGGTTTGGCTCTAACCTGATGTACTTACTGTATATGATTCTGTGTTCTTCAAGTTTGTATCTTCTTGGTCGAATGCACTTATTGTAAGTCGCTTTGGATAAAAGCGTCAGCTAGATGCAATGTGTTGTAGAGGTGTGTACCGTAGGTGCGTTTTAAACAGGGGTGCACATAACTTTCTCAGTGAGGTACTCAGATGAGTACCTGGAGTCGAGTCAGTGTTTGGTACTCCAACTTCTGGCTCCACTCAAAGTTATTTGATGAAGCCCTCTGTATCGCGAACGTCAACGGGGGGGTTGCTAGTGGAGTACTTCGTGACCACAGAGCGTGAACGTTGTGATCAGCTGTCAGACGTTAACAGCAGCCCTGTCTGTGCACGCGGAGACCGACTCTGTTGTCCGGTGATCTAACCGCCTTCTGGAAAAGCTTCACAAGTACGTTGGTACGCAAATGCGCTTTGTGACACAAGGGACGGTACGCATTTCAGATTGTTGCCGCGCATGCGTACCTGCGTACCAGTTATGTGCACCCCTGGTTATAAATGACTAAAGGTGTATACTTTACCTGGTGGTAGAGGTTCTCCCAGTAGTCCTGCGTCATGAGGCGGAACAGAGACAGGAAGGCCCAGCCGAAGCTGTCGAAGCTGGTGTAGCCGTAGTTTGGATTCCTGCCCGCCTTCAGACAGTCAAAACCATCCGGGCACTTCCTGAAACACACACACAAACACATTATATACAGCATGACCAGAATCTTAAAGAACATCATCAAAATAATTATACGTAGGCTACTTATTTTCTGGATTTTTTGTTGTTCCAATTCGTTTTTGAGGATGTGTTTTAAGGATTACAAAATTCCAAATTTTTCTCTGTCTATAACTTATAATAATATTCCTGTACTGCAACACTTTTTCCCACAAAATCAAAAAATACCAACTGTTGTAGCATAAAGTAAAAACATGACATTATCCATTACATTTTAGATATTAAAGAAAATTCACTGATTTGTGATATTTGGCTTTATAAATGAATAAATGATTTGACAACATCTGTAAGAGGTTTATTGGAATTGACCGTAACAATTTGATGTGTAGATTTGACGGAAACTATGGAATTTAAGAAAGAGGAAGAGTGAATCAAGATTAAAAAGATACAGATGTTAACTTCCCAACTTAAAGTGTTAAAACGTCAAACTACAGTCTTGGAGTGAGTGTAGGAGGGATGATGCACGGATTAGAGGACGACATTATCGGAAACAGCAGCATGGCCAAACCTCTGACTCACAGAAACATTTATATGCTGAGTCACTGAGGATTTTCAAGCTGAGTCACAGAAAAGGTTGCCACCATGCAGACGCTATCTGGGGATTCAAACCGGCAACCCTGCGGTCACAAGCCCACTTCTTCGCCCTCGCTATTATCCTTTATTACTGCACAACATTAAGTGAGAGATGGTAATTTATGCAGTTATATAACGTTTACATAACACAGCTGTGTGGAAATCAGTTACATCCACTTTTTACTTTTACACTAAAACATATTTTTAAATAAATCCAAGGCCTGAATAACAGGTAGATACTCGCAGTTACTGCATGTTATTATTATTATCATAGTGTCTATGTACTGTGAATGGTTAGTTAGATAATAAGATAATTTCATTGTTGTATTAGTTTTACATTTGTAAATGAATTTCCTATTTTCTAAGTCAAATGATACAGGAATAATTACATTTAAAGTCAATGCAATGCAAAAATAACCTGCAGCTCTATGGGATGATTAACGGAGGAAAAAAGAAATGAAATAGGCCACTAACCATACATTTAATTATCATCAACAAACATCAATGTGTGTGAAACAAATACTACATTATAATGATATGACTTTAAGTACGGTAAGTTATTGCATTCCCTTCCAAGGCTTTTTTCTACTAAATGTCACTAAAGTCTGTACTTTAACCAGGAAGAAGGACAATAAACATCTCCTTTCATTTTATTTCATTTATATTACATTTAAGGTCTTTTTAAAACTATTAAACGATTTTAAATTAAACGGAAGCAGGCTTATCGGTCTGTAAATGTGTTAAATGTTAGAGAATGTATTTTGTTTGTTTTTTTATTCTCAAATTTTCTTCAATGTGTTTATTTGAAAGGTTCTTTTTTAATGACTGCAGCCGTGTAATTGCCGATGCTGCCCACCTGATATTTTATCTCGAAAACTCTTTTATTCATGTTTAAATAAATTAAAACATATAAAAATGCACACAGATTGTCACGTTATTATTGGGAAAACATAATAATCACCTGAATGTCTGCACTTAGCAAGCAGTAGTGTGATAACAGCAAATAATGTAATAATTATATCTATAAATAGGGAAGTCATTTATTTCGCCTGTTTGTGGTTGCTACTTTAATAATGTAAAACATAGCAGCTAATACTCTGCATTTTCATTAATGCACTACAACTTCCATTATTCAACCATAAATACACATTTTCTACTTTGACTTGAATCACTTTGTAAGCAGACATATATGAAATGCTGTGTATTTGCACGCTATGTATAGCGGCTGAGGCGTACACATGTCCTTGAAGTTACACCTTATCTTATAGCCAAGAACTTTCTTGGCTAACCTTCTTAATATCGTACAACACAAAAGCAGCGCTCAGTATTAATCTGTCATCACGGTGCTCAGGAGTTGACCTTTAAAGCATTTAACAGTCAATTTCATGCCATTTAATTCTCCAACTAACTAACTAAAAGGGTTTCATTATGAGACCAGCAACCTCGAGAAAAACAACATGTTCAGAGCTTGTGTCATTGCAAAAGCAATCAGGCTGCAAAATTACACAGCAGGTGCAGATTTGACAGGAACATGCAAAATATTATGTATTACCATACAGTAGCTGGGAATGACTGTGGTAAAAGCACAGCCGAAAACCCAACAATCACTAGTCTTAAAATCCAAAAGGTACCGAAATGTGATTTTAATTCAATAAAACATTCAAACTCACTGCGCTGCTTATCCAAACTTATCCAACCAACGTTTTAATTATAATAACAGTCCAACTCAAAGCATTCATTTTCTCAATATTATTAACATTATAAAATAGACAAGATTCAAAAATGTTGAATGCTATAAAACATTACAAGTTACTGCACTGCTTCTCCAATCATTACGGTAACACACATCAATTCTAATGTATTTAAACGTTCCAACTCACTACAATTCTTATCCAAATATTGTAGTGAAAATAATTTATTTTGATTCAATAACACTACAACACAGCTACTTTTCATGCAAATGCAATCAAATATTCCAACTTCCAGCAATTACACATCATCAATATTTCTAAATGCAATAAAACATTCAATATCACTGATCTTCTAATCCAAACATTACAGTATAACCATTTTATGCAATGGAACATTCACACTGTTTCTTGTTGATACTATTTTTGTTGTTGGTAAATGTTTGTCTAACTATACTTATATCGTAATAATGTTGAGATCTCAAGGGGTTATGCCCGGCTAAATGATTTCCAATAATTCACTGCTTCTCCAAGCATTACGGTAAAAATCTATTTTAATGACATTATAAATGTTTCAAACATCAAATTAAGTATTGTTGACCCATCAGCCAATGGAAGTAATAATACCTGCATACAGTAAATGCAACGGATGTCAGTAAATTCAGTTTTCAGTTACAGCACATGTAATATCAAATGCTTATCAAAACATCACAGTATCAGGAACGAGAAAGGAGCATGACACCTGTTTTTAATGTATTCCAATAAAGAAATGCCAAGGAACAAACTGAAGAGCTGCTTGTGCCAACACTGTTGTACTAGCAATCAATGATAAAGTAGTTCAAATCTGTAACAGGCACCTGATTTAAGCTTTACGGTAAAGTCGTGTAATGTGATAACAAAATGAAATGGAGCTGCTTATATAAACATTACAGTAAAATCAATCAATGTTTATCAAATAGAAAAGTGTGCATAACTGAATATCCAAATGTTACGGTAACAGCGGCTGATATTACAAACTGTACACACACTGTGGACAGCTGAGAGCACTTGGGATGAAGTCATCACACACACCTCTTAAGGCCTCCTGATTACAAGCCTTATAAGATGACACACACACCCACACACACACAACACACACCACAACACACCACACACACCACACCACACACACACACACACACACACACACACACACACACACACACACACACACACACACACACACACACACACACACACACACACACACACTTTATAGGCTATTTTACACTTCTGCATCACTATATCTCAGAGAAAGATGGAGTACTTTTAGTATAGTTTTTGGAGAAAAAAACTATTTCCTAAAAGTTGAAAGGTCATTTACCTTCATGTACTTTACATTTTGTTATGGAACATTTCATTGGTTTGTCACATTTTCATTAGAAAAGTTCAACTACCCAAAGAACAGTGTTGGCATTTGTTCTAATTGAACAGCTCTTTGTTTCAGATTAGCCTCTGATGGTGTTCATTGTGTTTCACAGGAGGTAGTGTTTAATATTAAACCTCTACATGTCATTTTGGAAAATGCCAGCGCTCTGTTCATTTCAGCTTTTCATGCCACAGAGACTAAATGTTGCTGAGGAGACATTCTTTAGTGTGAAGTTCAATTGTGTGGGTGTGAATAAAGGCTACTTAACCTTTTCTGGACTGCCTTACATGTCTTTATCCTCCACAAAACCTTTTCTAACTCATAATTCAAGGGCTAAGAGGCTTCCCAAGCTCCTATCTGTTTTTCTAAAGAACAGTTTAGTGTCAAAGATTTTATATGCAGCGTTGCATAAAGTTTTAACATCCTGAGAGTTTGATCAGCCCCTTATCATGTTATTACCACCGTGAGGGCATTTTGGAAGATACTCTATCATGTTTTTGCAATTTCAAGGGCATCTAAAAGGGCCTGTACCCAAAAGGGCATTTTTAACATGTTTTCTTCACTAGAAAAATACATAGACCTAGAGTTCACTTAACCGCAATTACCTCCACTGCAAAGGCAACCTAAAGCACACAGTCATGTTTTCTCCACTGGAAGGGAATCCAAGACAGTACAGTATTGTGTTTTCTCCACTGGAAGGACTCCATTCAGGGCACTTTATCACATGTTCTCCAATGGCATGGCACTTTATAATGTTTTCTCCACTGTAAAGGCATGCAGACAGCAGTTGCTCCACTAGAAGGGTAACATACAGTAAAGGGCAAAGGGTGCAGTTTTCACAGGTTAAATGCACTATCGATTATCGACTTGCACAGGTGGAATGTTGGCTGCATCTACATAGTGCTTTTATTACATTTTATTACATTTAAAATGTCCAAAATGGTAGGGGTATCCATCTTGTGATAGCAAGTATATGCATAAAGACTGTAACTTGTATCGTTATTGTCCTGGTTTTTAAATGGAGAGGTTTAACATCCTGTGGTTTGAAATATGTTTACTTCCTCAGCACTAGTTTCAGCGGAGAGCATCGCTGCTCTACATGCATTTTCAAAGAGAGGAGCTGCCTGACAACTGCCCTCGGCTGTTGTAAAATCCCTCTGAAATGAGTTCTCGAGTGGCTCATTACTTAGCTATGTGTGTTGGTATGGGGAGAAGCCGTGTTGGCCCTGATTCAGACACTTGTTGGCGTTCTTTGAGAATAGCAGAGTGCTAAGTC